GCTAAGAGAGAAAGTGGACCTGCGAAGTCTGCACAATCTTTTAGCACAGTTGATTCTTGTGCCTGAAGCTCGCTATATAACTTGAAGAGAGATATTGTGTGAATCTTCTTATCTCCTTGGACTATCATTTTTTCCGTAGTCCAATGTTTACCCAAACCATTGAGAAATTGAAGGTTTGTTTCATGATTGCTTCGAAAGGTTCCAGCGTTTGACAACTTTGTGACAATAAGATTAAATCTTTTGAAGCAATCTTCAAGACTCTCACCAGGATGGGCTTTGAAGTTGTTGAACTCGTTGAGTGTGGTGATGAGTTTCTTGTCTTGAGCTTGCTCAGAACCTTCATACAAGTTTTTGAGAACATCCCATATTTCTTTGGCTGATTTGCAGTCAATGATCATGTCGAAGTTGTATAGGGCCACAACACATGATATTTCATAGAAAGCAACAACGTCACTTTCCATCTTATCAAGATCATCTTTAGTGGGATGATTCATTACACCCTGACCTCTTCCTAGTCTAGCTTTAGCAGCATCAGCCAGAACTGGAGTCAGAATTGGAACATGAGGTCCTTCTTCCACGGATCTCCACACATCTCTACCAAGTCTTTTCAGATACCTCTCCATACTTTGAGACTGGTGATGATATTCATTGCAACAACTATTGGGGCTTGATTAGAACCACCAAAACTGTTGGAAATGTTTAGTGATAATGCTTGTGTCATATTTCCTTTTTTGATTTTTTTTTGAGAAAATGAGGTTTAGTGGTATAGAAGGCTTTTCAAACTCAGAGTTTTGTTTAAAAGCAACCACTTTGGCTTTGATACCATTTTTTGAGAGAAAAACTTTTAAGAAACAGTTGATCAAATGATAGTACAAGTTAAATATTGCAGAAATTCATTAATCTCAAAGGATCATAAAGCTCAACAATAATAAGAAGTTAGAGTTTCTATATAGTTAGATGCGGAAATGTAAGAGCAGAAAAGTAAAGGAAATGTAAATGACGACATGTTATATATCAAGTAAACACTAAGCTGATTCTCAACTGGGTTTGCATTCAAACTGAGTTAGTTCACATGATCAACTTAATGTGAAAGAAGTCTCAAGGACTTGCTCCGAAGGAGATATGGGAGTTTGATCTTAAATTTGAGTGAAGGTTCAGAAAAATCTTAGATAGTAAGAGATAAGAATTCAAAGATAGTGATATTCAAATGTGGAGGTGTATAGATTCATGAAGATGGGGACTCTATTTATAGAGTCTCAAAGAGTTACACTGTAAATAAACAACTAATAAACTTCTGACTTAAAGTGACTATGAAAAGTTCACTGGATAATACATTGTAAGAAAGTAAGTCAGATAATGTAACAAAGTCGTCATTGCAGATGAGAAGGTTGCAGATGACATCTTTAAAAGAAGTTGTGGTATCAAAAGACTTTGTAGCCTGAAGAGAAGATTTTTTGCAGTCGGAGAGTTGACTTCGGATGAATTTGGATTGACAAGTTTAAGAGGGTCACTTTCTTGATTCTACACCTCTCAGTGTAGCTTGTAGTTCTTAGCCTTTAATAGCTTTAGCACCTCAAATGTGATGCCTCGAATGTGTTACAAACAACAAGTGCAAGAGGAGGCTTATGAGAGAGAGGTTAGAAAGCACCAAATTGGGTATGGTTCACCTTTTTAGAATGCACTAACCTATTTTGGGGGTTAAGGGGTTATTTTTATAGTGTTGAAATCCTAGGGTTTTCTGCATGTATACCCTAACTCACCATAACCCTTCATATTTCTTAGTCCCTAACTCACCTTGACCCTTCATATTTCTTAGTCCCTATAAATTTAATTAGTCTCTTTTGATCACTAAATTAATTCCAAAATAATTCTTGATCAATACTAATTAAATAATATGATTTCTCAATTAATATATTATTCATATAATATATTAATAAATCACAAACAACCTCTTTCTCAAATGTCCATCCTATCAAATTGCTCCGGTGAAGGCAACCCAAAAGGACCATGCTATTATCGGGTCAAGTACATACCAATTATAGTTATGGGCTAAGACACTTACTCCAATAGTCTCCCACTTGGATAAGACTATTAACTATAACTGCTAATGCAACTTCAAAATCCAATTTGCAATCGTAGCTCTCAAAAACCGCTGTCGAACACCTAGTCAGTGACGCGTCCCTTAGATAAGGGATCATATAATCCTCTGTTCTTCAAGATATCATGTGGACAAAGACATGGAATGAAGTCATACTCATTGTCCAACATTTTGTTTCCCGATTTCTAATTCGTTTGACATACAACTTAAATTGTACATATCAATTGAGTCCTGACCGGGCCCAACACATAAGTCAAAACAAAATCATCAAGGTGCCCAAGATTTCGCTTTTGACCCTCTTAGGATAAAAGGAATAGATAAACTTTGACTTATATGCTTGTACTAACTTCTCGTTAAATCATACACATCAATACGTTTTATAACATCAAATTACTAATGTGTTTTCATATTATCTAAGCATAACCAACTCGTAGTCAACAACTCTTATATCTTGGTTTGAAGAATATATGATATTATTGTCTCACATTCTATCGTGATAAATTCCATGAAGTGATTCATATGAGTATGGGTTTAATCCAATACTCAAATCTTATTTCAAGAGCACTCATGAATGTTGTAGCAACCTTTTGCTATGTCTATACACCTTAGACAATCTACAAACCAATTCTTGACATTCTAGCCTCATAACCTACTTCCAAAGTACGATCGACTGTGGATAGTTTGAATAATATTATTATTCTGGAAGTCAAAACATGAAAAAAATGAAACAATAGTAAAAAATTGACAAAGATATTAACTTTACTTATGCATAAAGCTCCTTTTATTCATTCATCAAAGGTCAATTACATTTTTATAGCAACTTTTATACACATACACACACACACAATCACACACACACATACACACACACACACACATATATATATATATATATATATATATATATATATATATATATATATATATAAAGCACATAATTTCATTTCATATTCTTACACATTAACATATAGCAAAAATTATCAAAAATGACAATTTTACCCTTAGACATATAATATCCTTTATATCATCTTTTCTAAAATTTATGAGTCATTGCATTTTATCCCACGCAATAATAACAACACACATATCATCAATGATCCAGGAGGGAAGCACAGTTACTCACATTGAGATGTTTTATGTGTATGGAGTTATGGCTCTTGAAGCATCATATCCGCTCTCATTTTAGGAACTGATAAAACAAGATATTAACTTGAGTATCATAGCTCAATGTACAACCATTTCCAACATAAACTTGATTCAACACTTCCGCTATATTCATATGACTTAATCCCATGGTCGAAACTTGTTATACTTTATGAATAACTCATTTATATATCTTAATCCATCAAGACATAAGTTTAATTTCAATTTTCTATCAAATCACTCAAACTAAGGTTTAAGATAATCTTTTCCATTGTAAGTAATAAATTGGGTTTTTGACATATGACTCTTGAAAACATGGTTATCAAACTTACTATAACACCATCACTAAGATTCTCCTTCTGGTAAATTAATACAAGACTTAGGGTTTCATCGCCTTTTCAATTCAACTATGAAAACACTAATTAAGCCATTAAAAAATGATATTACCTTTAATCCAAGTGATGGAGTTGAATGCTTGATTCTCTTGGAACTCCATAGGATTTATCTTCAACCTTAAGTAAAAAGATCTCAAAATAGGTGTTCCATAACTCTCAAGAATATGTAGGCATGAAATCAACATTAAGAAATCATTTAGTCCAACCAATACTATGTTTTTGGACTTCGAACCCAAGATATGACTGTGTTCCACCCTAAACACTTTAAATAGCAACATACTTCACTTGTTTGGGATTTTATACCTTAACACACACACAAACACAATCTATGTTTCTCTTTTTTCTTCCTTATGTAAACAACATACTTTCCTTTCAACTTTGGATGATTATAACTTCATCCTATATGGTTGGATTTTGATGATCTTTATATCCGTTTATTCATATTCAAGTTAAATATAACTTTTTATTAGATCACTTCTACTAAAAAGTATTATATTTTCATCTTATAACCTCATAAAACAAAAGATATAAATTACTCATCTACATAATCACATATTTTACATTCATCCTTTCATACAATTTAACAAAATATACGTCATGGCTTCTTATTTAACTCTTTAATGTATTACACATTTCTTAATATTATCAGTTATAAAGAATAGGCGTTATAGAAAGGTGGTGATTTTTACAACAAAGAGATATCTTATAATATAACCATTCCATACTAGGTATGGATTTTTGAAGTGCAAAATCCAATTTTCGAAGTACATATTTAGATTTTTTACTTAATTTGACCTGAAACAACATGTTTTTAACAAAAAAAATGAGGTTTTAGTCATATTTTCGCAGTTAGGCACTAGCTAAAGACATATTTTAGAAAATAGCCATCTATGAAATTTTAGTAAAAAAATCTTTTAGATATTTGTAGCCATTTGTATTTTCACATGTCATGACATGCAAAAATAGGGAAATTGTCATTGTAGCCCAACTATCTTTCGTATTTTGGTTTAAATGGTCCCTCGTGAATATTTTTTTCATTTAAAGGGCATTTACTTCTAAATGACCGATCACTTTGGTACATTAATCCACATTTGAATGTAATACTAATGTGTGGAGTTCCAAGTAAGGGGGTGAGTCAGCATCAAGTCATAGACGAGTGGACTTGTCTTCCACATAACCTAGTTTAATACCTTCATTAACTTCTACCAATCCACCAACCACCCTTAGAGGACAAGGAAGCATCAGTGGTGGGCGCATAATACATCATCACAAACCCTTGTAGGGCTTAACCTAGTAGATTGTCGAGACTTTTTTTTACCTTATTTGGGAAAACACGATTCCCACCGAAACCCAAAATACTAGCAATGTTGGCTCCACCACCTCCTTCACCTGGATCGATATATTCACCAGAGTTTCTCAACCTCAACGACCTGCATACCATTGTTTGTGACTGTGGAGACAAGATTGTTGCCTACCAAATCAAGATGCATAGGCTCAATGATAAGTTGGGTAAAGATTTCATTTTATGTCGTGTTGATCACATCGATCTTCAACACAAGTTGGAAGATCAAGACAAGAAGGTAAAAGCGATTGTGTGTAGTGATGGGCAGCGTCATGGTAGTAATGCTTGGGATGATAGTGGTTGGGGTCATAGTCCTTATGAAGCTTGGATAAGTTTTTAGGGGTACATTCCGATATATATATATATATATATATATATATATATATATATATATATATAATAGTTTTAGGTTTTCTGTTCTTGGTTTTTTTGTTTTTTGTGTGATATCTATGGATTATGTGAAATTTCCTATGTTGATGACATGCACTTTGTACATTTGTTAGGCTTCTTAATGGAAAAAGAACTGAGTTGATCTCAGGAATTTTTTATCTCAAGGTTGTCTATATTAACACTTTGATTTTGGTTGACATATCATGCAAAAAAGAAGAAAAGAACATATTTTGGGTTATTGAACCCCACGTCCCTTACACGGAGAGGGTAGTTTTGTCATTTCACATTCATAAAGGCTGTAAAAAGGGTGTCTTATTCAAAAGGGTACCACTTTCATTTTTTCTTGTCTCTTTCAAATCAATTTCCAAGTGAGATCCAACAAAATTCATCAAGATGAAGATTGTTTATGGGTGTGAAAGTCTGGAAATAATTCATACATCTCGGACTGACACTAACCCTGGAAGAACATAATATGCATGTCCAAACAAGGAAAATGTACTCATATTTTTAGACCCCTGGTTTCACAATTGTTTTCTAAATGTAACCTTAATTTCTAATTTAGGGAGCCCGATCAGGCTTCATTTCTTAGGTTGATGAAATAAAATGCAACAATGAAGAAATCATTTTAAGTGTACTGATAAGGTCAAAAAAGAATTTGGCATCAGAAGTGTTGAAGTTGAAGCTGATTTTACTTTGTAGTTGGTTCTTTCATGGATTTAATCATTTATAAATTGTAATCAAATGTATTTATGTAGTTGAATTAAGAACAATTTGTAGTCTGTGATGTGACCTTGATGTATTGTTGTCTTGCCATTACCTTTAATTATGTATATGGATGCTAATTACCCTTAATTTGGTGAAATTATGGCACCCTTAATGTCATTACATATAGTACGTTGCTAGAAAGCATATTAAAATTGTTAACAATTAATGTATATTTGTCCACCAAGTACACAATGACCACATGTTCTAAATGTTGGAATTACATTTCATTACTCTTCACTTTTTTAATTAAATATACTACATCGCTAAATAGAATTAAAAATTGTTAACAATAATTGTGTATTTGCCGAGTAAGAATACAAGGACCACATGATATATCATAGAATTACATGCATGCATGTTGAAAACTATTATTATTAAATGACAACCAAAGCATGATAATAGTACAACCATTGTAAAACCATACAAACTAATGTCAAACAAACAACTAAATGTTAGACCAAACAACTACAACTTATTGTCAAACCATTTTCAAACAACTATTAAAGATAACCACATGACACCATAAAATACTCCTTACTCATTAAGGTTTACTGGGTTTGCACTAGTATCTCCTTTCCCATCCTTAGTCTTAACCTTCTTTGTAAGTTTTGTTTTATGATTCTCTCTAATTTTTTTTTTTACCACTAACTTTTGGTCCATTATCTCATTCATCAACTGACTTTGGTCCGCAACTTCCTTCATCAACTACCTTTGGTCCACAACTTCCTTCATCAACTGCCTTTGGTCCATAACTTCCTTCATCAACTACCTTTGGTCCACAACTTCCTTCACCATTGGCCTTTGTTTTCCTTTTTGTGACCTTAAGTTTTATGGGCCTTTGAACCCTTTCCCTTTGTATATGTGGACTTTTAACTTTAGGACAAGTAACCTTGTTATGCCCTACTTTTTTACACACACTGCATAATATTATTTTCCCTGCCTTAGATACATTGTGTCTTGGGAGCTTTTCTGATGCATCTCTTCTTCTGTTTACCTTTGGTCTAGCTGGAATTCTTCTTTTCAGTGGTGGTAGAGGTGGTATGAACTCAATAGGTGGCCACATGTTGCTACCATTCATCTCATGTATTTAGTATTTGTAAGTTTCTTGTACAATAAACCATACAACATTACATCCATAAAAGTGGAAACATATCTATTCAGCTATTATGTAGTAGCGACTGAATGCACACATCCATACTCATTAAGTTGTCATACTCTACAAGTACAAGTCCTTTTTTCCAGGTCAACAACATATGACTCTGCCGGTTTCTGGTTTCAAATTGGTTTAGACCAATTGGTAAAACCAGACATACCTATTTGAGCCACCACATAACTTAGTACATAAGTTACACTAAGAGTGTAAATATTATAAAGTACCTTTATGCTCTTTTCAATTTATTTAGTAGGAGTGTAATTGATGGGCAAGGTTTGTAATCAGGCCATGAACTACCATTCATCTTCAAATTGTATAGCCTCTCCAATACATATAATCTAATCTCATCTAACATGGTGATGATTGGCTTTTTCCTTGCATCCCTGATGACAATGTTAAAGCTCTCAGATAATCAATTCTCCATTGCATCACATATCCTTCCTTCTTGAAAAAATACACTACTTTAAGATTTAGGGTTTGTTTCCATAAGGTATTCTTAGGATACAGGGTTAAGCACTTGAATCTCATTCATGGTAGTATTGAATAACGGCTTAGTGGATGATTTGCTTGCCTTCCAACACATGGTCTCATAGTGTACACCACTGAATCTTTTCCTAAATTTGGCAACACTATGCCTTACACACTGCCTATGTTCAATAGTAGGAAAGCACTTCGTTGGTAGCCTTTAATAACCCCTATCAAACAATGGTGATATGTTAGACATAATGTACCCTAAATGAATGTATAAAAGTTGAAAGTATAGGACATACCTTATGGTGATCCGACATCAATGTTATACTAAAACCATTATTTAGTTGAAGGTCATTTTTTAGATTTTTCAAGAACCATTTCAAATTTGCTTTGTTTTCTACACATACATCTTCCCATGCAATTGGGAATATGTTATCATTAGCATCCTTTCCTACAGCACATATTAGCTCTCCAGAACATAAACCATTTAAGAAACAAGCATCTAAACTTATTACTCTTCTACAACTCCCTCTTTACCATTGCTTTAGGCCATCAAAACATTTCTAAAACTTACTAAAATAAGTCTTACCATCAGACATAACATTGACATCAATTTTGGTTGTTGATCCAGGATTTGATATTCTTATCTCCTCACAATATGACCATAGCTTTGTATAGTGCTCCACCAGTGTTCCCTCTATTAGTTCAAATGCATACTTGTTTGCTCTTCTACAATGTCCCATACTTACATTTATCCTAAATTTATCTTTAACCTCATCGCTAAGGAGCCTTACACTAACTTTTTGTTTATGTAAGAATTGGGTTGTGTAATGGCTACCTATCCATGCATAGTTCACAATTGAACCTAATTTGAATTTTCTTGCATAGTTATGCTCATTTATGAGACTCTTAATTTGGAAAGAATTTTCCTCGGTTATCCAAGAAGCCAACATTCTAAAATTGCAAACACCAGAACAACATTTCACTAAAAGTCCCTTGCTAACATTTTTCTTGTAGCATAACTAATAACGATTTTCAACAGCATAGTTACACATCATGTGTTTCAGTTGTTTAGGACTCACAAATCTCATACCTAATATGGGCATTTGTTTTTTTTCCAATAAACACTATCATTGTAAATAGCTTGTCATTAGATATTACCTCATCCTCATGTAGCTGATCATATGGCTTTTCACGAGGTAGATTGTGAGGGGTAACTTGGTCCTTTGCACACATCTTGCTCAAAAACACATCATCTTTTGTCTTGTTCATAGGAATACACTCATTAGGTTCATTATGAACTTCAATGTCAATGTCATCATCTTCCTCACCTTGCAAATCATCCTTAGTACCTTGTAAATCCTCCATATCACATTGCAAATTATGACCTAGAAAATCCTCAATGTCAATTCCATCTTCCATATCCATACCACCTTGGACTTCTTCATGAACTTCATTTCCATCAGAAAATCCGTCTAATGAACTGCATGCTTTGGCTAGCTCGTCAAGTATCCATTAATGTACATTAACACCAAGATGGCCCATGTATACATGAATTACACAATTAGAAGCACACCCCACTTCGATGAAATCATGGTAGTCTTTATCGTTAGCTATTATCCCCAATCCAACAGGGCACTCAATATCGGGTATGCAAAAGTACACATTCACGCATAACTCATTAGAGAATCTTTGAAGGAACACCACCAACTCATTCTTTTCTATTCCAACAAAATTGACATCATCAAACATTTGCTCTGCTCCATCTGAGTAACAATTAGAAGGGTACATCATAAAATTTCGGCAAAATAGAGATCTATCTTCATGTAAACAACCACAATAATGATTATGTTGGCCGCTTTGAACGAGGAGGAGCTTAAGAAACGGATTTTTGTGACACCCATAAAATTTAAGCTAAATTTAAGCTTTTCAAAAACACTTTAAATCAATAGTGTCACACCCCAAAACCGATAACGGCGGAATACATTTCGGGGTGGATAACGTAGTGTACAGTATCATCACAATTGCATAATAGAAAAAGCAAGAAACATACAACCATTTCATTTACATAGTAAGTGTATTTACAAGTGTGTTTTGTAATGTTCAACAAACACCAAAAGTAAGCAAAAATAAGAGATGGGTCTTGCATGCTCCATCTTCTCCCAAAAATACTGCAGTTCTACCTGTCTATCTTTGACCTGAAGATACAAGTTATTTTGAAAAGAATATCAGCATAAAGCTGGTGAGTTCATAAGAGTTTAGTGTGAGTTCTAGTATAAAAAGCATTAGAATCATTAGTATGAAAACTGAAGTTTGTAATCATAAGTGGTGGTAAAACCTAGAAAATCCTATATTTTCCATAACTATATAGTAAATGAAAATCTTTAAGAAATATGGTGTTTCTATCTTTGAAAGCCATTTATCGTAGAAGTATAATAGTGACTCACCAATAAGTAAGGCAATATAGTGAGTTATTCTTGGAGTACATAATAGTGGTGCAGCATCCTTTAGTATTAGATACTTATTTACTTCGGGATATTAACTTCATCTTTCTTTTAGTA